TTTTTGAAATCATTAATTGTTCGTGGTGCTCGATCCCAGTCTTTCCTATTTTTCAATATGGTCTATGGTTTGACGTGGAAATAGTTTTAAACAAGTACTGACTGAAGGTACAACGTAAGGCGTGCGAGCAAAGGGCAAATTTACACCAGTAATAGAGCACCAAATGAGATCAGTGAAAATTGTAATATAACCGTGAAACTTTAGTAATACTAAATAGCACAATTTCATGCAAATTCAATTGTTTTCTATTGCTTAATTAGCACTATTTCGTACTATTTAGTAATAAGCGTTTCACGGATTAATTGTTTGCACTCTATATCTGCAAGATACGTAATAGATAGATAAAGTTTGGGGAACCGAAATTAGGGGAAAGCACTGCACAAGCCCGAATTTTGTCAGGCGAAGCACGTATAACAAACTGTATCTTGCACTTTCATGAACACAAACGTGCAAAGATTTTAGAGAACCGAGGGCAAAGCACTGCAGTGGCGGATGCAGGATTTTTCAAAGGGGGGAGTTCCGTTTCTTAAAATGTGTATAATTCTCTTTTGTTTAGTCGATGTTTGACAAAAATATTGGCTCTAATCATCTAATTTACTATCTAGTAACGGAACWTAAAGGTAAATTAAACATCATAACAGCAAATTTCTATCATTTTGTTTTCAACATTATCTTTGTGGATACTTTTAAGCAAAATTTATATAAGACATATTTCTATTACCTAAAAGATCAAATCTTCAAGGTGGGTTCCGTGGACCCCTTCGACTCCCCCCCCCCCCCCCCCCCCCCCTGGATCCGCCACTGCACTACACAGACCATTAATAATGAAACGAAATTCGCTTGCTCAGGCCAATGGTTATCACTTAAATATAAGCTTGAAATACTTTTGCAAACTCTGGTCAAAACTAAAACAATAGAAAGTCGTAGTAAACTTTGCCGACAACCACAAGTCGAGAAATGGTAGTGCTCACTAACCTATTCAAATAATGAGAATAATATTGACAGAAATGAATTGAAAACATCGGAGCCAAAACTCTTTTGGTCGCAGTTCCTAAAGACGTTCGACCRGCTGCAGCTGTTTTAATCCAAGTGATTATGCTAATCAATAGTTTCTCATAGACCTTATATTAGAGAGAAGTCATTAAAGKGAAGTCACTAAACCCGTGAATTGCTGGCTTTCACTCAGCTGATAAAAGGTTTTGAATCTCATTATCAGCTCCATATGGTGGTCAAACACTGACCACCATGTGATGTCAACCAGAAAGAATTCTATTGAAAACTTGTGATTCAGCTGATGAACATTCCGCACGAGACATGAAAAGCAGTGTAGTGAAAGATAGACATTAGACTAATACGCTTTAGTAGACCCTAATTCCAATGTTTTCTTTTGTGTCTACGTTGACTAGTATTTTTTATTTCACGGGTATTTTTCATTTCAGAATTTGACTATTATACATTTATTTATTTATTTATTTCACTGATTAAATGCCTTCACTCTAACTCAATGCACAGTTCTCAGAAATATTTTGAATGAGAGGCTAATATGGAAGTACAAAACTGAGAAATACCACAAATTCCATCGAAAATAAGTGTCGTTTATCTTGTATTTTCATGTTAGCAATTCATTCAAGATAATTTCGAGAAGAGTTCAGAAGCACCACTTTATTAAMATTTCTCCTATATATAAAATCGTCGTTCGAGTGGCCAGTAACTTCATATCCATATTTGGCAAGCTTACCTTATCTGGAAGTGAACCGAGGTTCTTTACCGTGATTCTCTCGCCATTAGAAGTTTTAAAATGACGGAAATATGAATCAAAACTGCAGATATTATAGCGAAGAAATACTTATAAATTGTCCACCATCTTGAATTTAGCTTAGAACCTGGCCTTTGACAAAGGAAGCCCAAAACGTGCAAAACCAAAGGGATCCCACGCGAAATACAATGAGAGTTTATAAAAATTTATCAAACAATTGTTGTCATTCGCGGGCTTCCTGTGGTGACAAACCACGCTCCCCTCCCCTACACAATTTCCAGTCTTTTTTCGGCCAAAACCAAGATGGCTGACTAGTTAGTGATGATTTCACTCGATTTACTGTAAATTTGAGCAGTTTTGAGCAAGAAATTCGCCTATTTAGTGAAGAAAATTATATTCCAATTTCCTAATATGGTAAGTACATTCCATATATGGTAAAAGAAACAGCTCGAAAATATCTTGACCTGTCTTGAAGATGAAGTTAAGATTTATTAAACAGTTTACCGTTTTAAATCTGATTTAAACAAACAGCAAATTACATTTTAAAGTGGCTGCTGCCATATAATAGTAATGATTTGAATGATATTTGTCTTGCTCTCAAAAATCTTAAGATTTATTTTGTATACCACCATTTATCATCATCATTATCGTCCTCGTATATTTCAACTTGTTTAGAAAGTGCTTTAAAAAACAAATTTACTTTCTAAGATTAGCTTTTTGAYGATTCTACAATATAACAGTTTAAACTGATAACGTTTGATGAAATTTCAGTTATAGTTCAGTTAATGTGCTTTAAAACCATTTTGGATGAATTAGATAATGATTTCCGGATCCATTCCAAAAAAAAAAAATAATAATAAACAAACTTTAAAAAAAGAATCAAGATTTTACAGAGCCCGTAGCTTTTAAGTAAAGGTTGGTGACCCTAGCCAGCTATAAGGACAAGTCTATTTTTTCCTTTCCCAAGGGATTCCAAATATTAGCCTTGCTTGCGAGTAGAGCCAGTCCTACATTTATCTAATCTAAAAAATTGAACGATACCATTCAAGTGCCCATTCACATGAAGACAGGCTGAATGATAGTGTAAGGAAAAGGTGGTATTTTCTTTAATTCCCAAAGGGATATTGATGGGATGAAGCAAAAAAACTGCCCTACCTTCCCTAGACAGGGCCATTACATTTCACACATCCCTAAAATATAATTAAGTCTGTTTTTCGTTACAGCGTTAACTTACCTAAAGATTCAGCTGAATGGAAACATACTCCTAAAACTGCAACAAGCAGCACGGCCTTCATTTCGAATTACAAATCCTAACGAACAGCGCTTCAAGGAATATCACTCTAACATGGGAAGTGATCGCTTTACGACCTTGGCCCAGAGTGAAAAGTAATCGTTGAAATAGATTTAAGGGTATTCGTACCTCGCGAACGAATTTGTTGAGTTAACCTGTTCAATTAAAGCTGTTGATGGATTAATCAGCTTTGGATCCAAAATACAAATGAACAAATAAAATATCGAGTCAATGACGCTTTATTTAACATTTGCTTGTCATCAATGTTGTACATGGTATTGATGTTAAGGGATAGTAAATATATCAGTATAATTTGTGTTATGACAACTTACTTCGAGATTATGAACTCCACAAATGAAGTGCTCTCGAATTACTACCTTCTTGTTTGTTGCGTTTTGCTTAAATTCCATGATAGCAAAGAAAGAAAGAAAGAAAGAAAGAAAGAAAGAAAAAAGAAAGAAAGAAAGAATAAACGCTTAGAGAGAGAGAAAATATTGCCCACGAGTTTTAGTTTTGCTTTTTCCTTATTTTCTTCCTTTTTGATTT